ATTGCAGAGGATAAGGAGAAGTGTAACATGTAGAGCTTAAAACCTATTTGGGGAGATGAGACACAATAAAAATAATGAATTATCTTATGGTGGGGTAGACTCCAAGTGTTATCTGAATTCAGATTACTGTGATTTGGGGTCAGAGAAGATTTCTTGAAGAAGATGGGGCCTCGAAGGGAATCAGAAAGAAGGTGAGTGTGGCAGACAATATACATAGAGCAAGCATGTTAGGAGAAGTTGGATAGTTACGAGAGATAAAGTTGATCAGGTGCTTTGGTATATCCCTATGCCTCGGTTTCTCAACGAGAACATGGAAATGATAATGGTAACTGCCACACAAGGTCGTTATGAGGATTAAACGATATGGGAAAGCACTTAGAGAATGTAAGAGTAAGCACTCCACAGATGTCAGCAATTGATATTTTATATTATTAGTAGGATCATGGGAGTGCCTTGAATGCCGGATTGGGCATGTGAGCTGTACAGTGTGGGTAATTAAGGGTCATTGAAAAATTTGAGCAGGGCCATGATATACTGAAAATAAAGCTGTTAAGATAATTTGTTTGTAATGTGAAGGGTGGATTGTAAACCCCTCCTACAAGACTTTGCCTGAAACTAAATAGTTAAAAAATCTCCAGTGCCCAGATACGGTGGAATTATTTAAGAAAAACGATTTGATTTTTAGCTAGTTTCCCAGAGGTTAGACCTACATGATATATTAAAACTTGGTAGGACTGTAAAATGATATGGTGGAGAGAGATGAGTGATATATTAGATTGCCAACCTGCTGGTAGGGGTTCTTCAACAGGATGAAGTTCCTGACATTCTGCTATAATCAACTGCAACTCAGTTTTCTGGTAAGTTGTGGGGTTTTCTTCCCCATTGTTTCTTTCATCTTTGCTTAGAAAAACTCTGACATCCAGTGTGTCTCTGGTTCTTCTCCTGCATTCTCCTTTTCCTTGCTGATCCCTTCTTTTCTGTTCTGAGACATTAGTCAAGTAAGTTATCCTGGCCCCATTTTTACATTGCTCCTGGCCCACCTACTTTGCTTAAAAGCCTTTAGAGCATCCTTTCTCAGGGCTCCCGATTCATGTAATTTAACAGAACATAATTAACTTCTAGGTAACACATAGGTAAATACTCGAGATCTGTTATATAAAATGATAAAAAGCTTTCCTAATTTGAGGATACTGGGTGCTCACACATTCTTGCGTTCCATCTTTGATTCGACTGAGTGACAAAAGGCCTTTGTTCCTGCTCCAGAAATGGTCATGTGGTAAATGTTCAAACGGTTGTCATCCAGACAGCTCAGGACCCTCAGAATGAGCTCTGGCTTCCTCTCCATTTTATTCTTCTTGGTGGTCTGAGTGGGCCCCTCATTAGGATTCATGCTTCTCCCTGAGTAAGGTGGGGAACTTTCACTTGGGTTTACCATCTAGGCAAAATAATGTAAAGAGGAGGAGAAAGAAGAATATGAGCATTACAGAGAAACACCATTCTATTGGGTGAAACTGCTAGAGAATCTATGCTGGAGCATGAATTATTCATTTATTTTGCAAAAGTTTATTGAGTCCAGGCACTGTTATATGTTATCGGTACTGGGTGTATAGCAGTGGATGAGACATGGACCTTAGAAGTCTAAAAGAGACAGAGCAAATAAACATAAATGAATAAGATATATTTGAATAGTGATCATTCTATGAAAAAAATAAAATAGGGTGCTATGATAAGGGTAGGTGGTCCTAGAAGGCCTCTCAAAGGAGGTAAGATTCAATCAAAGACCTGAAAGAAGTAAGAGAATGAAGAATGTGGGTAGGTGTAGATGAGAATTCCAGGCCAAGGGAACAGAAAATGCAAAGGCCTGAAGTGGCTTGTTTGGGGTGTTTGAAGAACAGCAGGTAAGCCAGTGTAGCTAGAACAGCATAATTGGAAATAAAGTCAAAGAGGTAATTTCAAAGCCAGATATGTAAAATGATATGGTGGAGAGAGATGAGTGATATATTAGATTGCATCATCCCAGGCTATGGTGAGGATTTGGGGTTTTGTTCTAACCTTGATTGGAATCCTTTAGAGGGTGTGGGCAAGATTCTCGTTGTTTGTCACATGATTCCGATTCCAGTTCTACCATTTATTTGCCTGTGTGAACTTGAGGGAGCTCTTGAGCTCAGTTTGCTGTTAGTTAAAATGTAGATAATGATTCTTATTCCCAAGCGACATTAAAAGAATTAGTTATTGGTTACAAAGGCCTTGAGGCCTTCAGATGAAAGTTATGATATAGAGTAATTACCACTGTTCAATATAGTCATTATTTTAACAGCTATCTTCTTTTCGAAATGGAAAAAAAAAACAAAAACAAAAAACAATGTAGACCTATACCCAAAATAGCAACATCTTGGAAATTTAAAAAATGTCAGGGAAGTCTTGTTTCTGATTTTCATTTTGGTTCCATATGAGAGATTTAGGCTACTTTTCTTTGAAAGATACCTTAAAAACTCCCTGGAAGTTGAAACCTAACATATATCACAGTATATTAGAGTAAGAAGAGGCCTTAGAGATTTTACAGATCTATCGTTGGGTCAGAGTCTGATTTCTACAGAAATGACTTTAGAAAACTTGCTTACTATACAAACTGTGCTTCTAGCCTACAGGAAATTGCTTGGGGAGGGTGGGCCCCAGCCTAGGAATGCTGGTGTGTTATTTATTCATTTTTAAAAAACCTTATTTATATGTCATGAAAAAATGATCTTACAGATCATTGTGTCGATCCCATCATTTTACAAGCAAGGAAACAGAGAAGCAGAGTCTTGAGGACAATTTCACTGCTGCGAGCAGGAGAGCTGGAAGAAAATTAAGATCGTATGACTTTCAGGCATCTGCCTTCTCCCCAGATTCACGAGCTACCTACCTCAGTGTCACATTTAGACATAATTACAATGTTGCAGGAAGTGGTTTACTGTAATTTAGATCCCTTTCTATCTCTATTGTAATGATGTACTTGGCTAATATTGGAAGTGGCAGCTGCCACAAAACATCTTTCCTTGGTGAGGCAGCTGTACATGAAAAAAAATTTCATAGACTATAATTTGACTCTGTGTCACAAATGTCTGCTCTGTATTTTCTCTTTCTCTGCCCCTCTCCTTATTCGCAGGCTATGGATTCTGCAAGTGGATTCTACAGACTGTACCACTGATTCTATAGACTTGGAGTTTTTGATTTGATCATAGTTCAGATTCTGGTTGTAATTTTTTCATATTAATTTTTGCCTGGAAAATATTTTAATTTTTTTCATACATAATTATTGTAATAATTTTTAAGTGATGTTTTGTTCATTTGAAATAAGCTCAGTATGTAATTTTAGGCCTTCTGGTCCCATCATTTTAATAACAGATGGAAAGCATTGTCATGAAAATAAGCAAATATATATGTATGTGTATAAACACACACACATACACATATATATATATACACTCACCATTATGATTAACATTTTCTTGTGTATGAATCCAGATTTCTTCAATCATAGCTTCAGTAAACTTAAATGTGGATGAATCAGATATGAGAATATATGTATGATAAACACACACTTTCTATACCTTTGTATCCTAATGCAGTAACATTTACTTGATTGACATTGAAAGACAAAGTGATCTTTACTGCTTGGACTGTTTTTTGTTGATACCACATGGCCACTCCCTGAAATAGAAGCTGTAGCATTTACCAGTCTAACCTGTTAGGGAGTTCCTCACATTGGTGTATTTTTGTCATTCATTGCAAATCAGTGATATTTAAATAAGCCAAAAGGATCTTCAAGCATATTATTTCTTTTTACTGGTTTTCCTAAAAAGAAATGTCCCTTTACATGTTTCTTTATTTTACATGCTCATGCCATGGAGAAATAAATTGCTGACATTTCATATACTTTGCCAAGAGTAAAGTAGTTTTCAAGAGTGAACTTGCCAAATAGTACTCTTTCCACAATTAAAGTTTTTAAAATAGAAATCATACTGAGTAATTGGATGGGCGATGGAAAATGGCAAGGTTAAATCTTAAAGCAAACTTCCCCAAGTAAGACAAGATGCGTTGGAATGCATTTCCTCAGTAATCGCCAAATGTCTATTTCCTGGTCTCTCTTCTCATTCCCTGAAATGATTTTAGATCCATCATCCTGGAGGATTTTACTATAACAAATGCTTGGCACAGCATGCAGTTTGTTGCTTATTGAAAGAAGCATAGATTCATCAGAGAGCTCTTAATTCCCTTTTCTCATCTCTTTCATCAGGTCCAAGACTTTTTAGGGGAGAATAGAGGGGCACCATGAATGAATCAGGCTGTCTTCTTTTTCCCCATTCCTGTGGGTTTTGCTATGGGTTGTAGTAACAGGCTGCTCCTTAACCGTTGTGAATCCCTAGTTTCAAATGAATGGCACAATCCCATTAGGCCTATTGACTCAAATCTCAGCATTTGGGGCACTCACCAACAACTGCTAGGTAATTAATGACACAGTGTTTCCCTGTGAGAGCATTATTACCTGGACTTTCAGAAGTGGGGTCACTGGAACCAGCATAGGTGACTACAGTAAGATGTGCAAGTAAGATGTAAATATATGATTGAGAGGGGTTTGTGTATGTATGTAATATTTATGTTTACACTTGGATTTGTGAGATGTGATGGAAATTGTAGGAATCCAGTCATAGTTTGCAACTAAATGGGAAAAGTATGCTATAGTGAAATGGATAGTGATTCAAATATGAAAACAAACTTTAAAGTGTTAAAACGTCTCTAGATAATTGTTTAACTGAGAGTAAATCACTTGACTTGAAATTCTCCGTCTTAAAAAAATGAAGATAATTATAATTCTTAACAACTTCTCTGAATTGTCTGAAGATCATCTAGCTATAATGCCTTTGGCTAGCTTTTCAAGGTTTTTAGTTCAAAAAAGCTGTTCAAATGCAATGTATATGTAACAAAGGTATCTTTGCTGTTTTTTTTTTCTCCCATAGGTATTCAAAAGACGGTATTTTTACTTAACTCAACTTCCTGATGGTTCATATATTCTCAATTCCTATAAAGATGAGAAAAATTCAAAAGAATCTAAAGGTTGCATCTACTTGGATGCCTGCATTGATGTTGTTCAGGTAGGGCTGTAGAGGTAATCTTTCTCTTTCTCAAAGAGGATTATTAATCACCTCTTAAGAACTTCATCTTTCTCTCTTAGTTAATGGCATCTTATCCACCAAAAGGTTCATACTAGACACCTCAGAATCCTCTACAGTTGCCCTACTCTTGCTCTGTGCCAATATTCAAGTGTTTACCCAGTCTTTTGGAGTCTGGCTCCCAAAGGGCCTCTTAAATCTCTTACTGTTTTTCCTTTCTCACTGCCTTTCCTCTGATTCTGCCTTTTCTTCTCTCGTCTAGAGTCTTACCTTCCTGCCTTATGATTTGTTGTCCAGCTCCAGTCCTAAGACATAGATGGGGTCCTTCACTTGTCTGCTCAAAACCTTTTTGCTCTTGATTTATTGTCTCACAGATTGAGATCTAAGGCTCCCATCATGGCATTGTGGGCCCACAGTGATTGGGCCATACCCGGCTTTCTAACCTCATCCCCTCTGTGTCCCCTTATACATTCTGTGCTCTAGTCATATCAGGCTAAGCCCTCCACAGAGTTTCACATGTATGTGCCTTTCTTACATTTGTTTGCTTGACCTTTTCTTTCCCCTTCTGTTCTTGTTTGATCCTTATCTTTTAAGACTCGGCTCAAATGGCACTTCTCCCATGAAATGTTTTCTCTTTCCTTCCTCGTCCTTATGCCCACTAAATGAAATAAAGCTCCAACTCCCCTGTGTGACCACTTTGCTTTTTCCTCTATCATACTTTAATTTGTGAATCATGCTCTAATCTGCAGGTAATTCTGCACATTCAGTTTTGGATTATAGGGACCATGTCTTATTCATGTCTGTGTCCACTATAATTAGCAGTGTTGTGCACACAGTAGTGACTTAATAAATGTTTGCTAATTCGAATTACTGAGGAGACACAGACAAAGATGGGGTGGGAAACAGGAAAGAGAGATGATGTAAATGGTAAGTCAATTAACCAGAAGATAGGAGCCATTACTATCGAGCAAGGGTGGCATGGTTGACTAGAAGGAGCACTAGATTGATCAGGAGGCACGAGATATGGGTTCAACACCCTGAACCTACCTGAATCTTAATTTTCTAACTGTAAAGTGGGATTAATAATGTCTGTTTACTCGATCAAACAGGATTATCATGTAGATCAAATGAAAACACACTTGAAGAATATGGAAGTCTATATGACTATAAGGTGTCTTCTTTTCTTTATCTGACTGGAAGAAAGAGGACACACAATTCCTAGATTTTCTCGACTAGCCCTAGTCTGGATTGACCTTTCTTTAGAGTGTTCCCTGGTTCTGCTTTCATGAATTTATGATCCCCCACTCCCATATATTTTCAAGTACATAAATCTTTATGACTGCTACAGCAGTTTGCCATTTTTTACTATACTTTGAAAATGAGGATGAAATTTCTTGGTTCCTTCTTGAAAATCGGCTATACAATGAAAATTATTCTGAGCCTGTCTTAAAATTAATGCTGAGGTATTTGGGAGAGGGAATGTGTCATTTCTTTGGTCATAACAGAAGGCGGTAATATAAAAGAATATGTCATTATGGTTGAAGAAAGGAGGAGGCTCTTATTTGCCTTGTGTGCTAGTATTCAGCATAGGCCGTTTCCATATTTTTTTTGCTGTGAGCCACAATTTAATGTGAACCAACTACAGTCTTTTATGCTCCTATGATGCATATCATGTGTGGTAAACTGAATTGGGTATTGATATTGCATTTTATAGATTGCTATAAAGCAAGTATCAGATTTATTTCAGGTAACATTTAAGCTTGTTTTTAAGGGCTGATTTTGAAAATCTATAAATATGCCAGGAAAACTTTAAGCAGAGTGGAAACTGTAAAAATGTTTGCTTACTTTTATGGTGGTAGTTTGATTATCTAAATGTGAAGGGTGTCAAAAGGCATTAAATGATAATATTCACCCAACACGTAGTATTTTTTGCCAACTTTGTACATATACCACTGTGCTCAGAGATATGTTTGACATGGTCATTCGTCGGCATGGGATTTCTGTTTCTTGTTGAAAGAAGCAATTCTTTCATAAAAGTATTGACGTACATATGTGCTACGCCGAGGTAAAAATAAATAAACTGATGAAGTCTAATATGAAAAAGGCAACTAAACTAACTGAATACGTGTTTTTTTTTTCTTTTTTCCTCTAGTGCCCCAAAATGCGTCGTCATGCTTTTGAACTCAAGATGTTAGATAAGTACAGCCATTATCTGGCTGCTGAAACTGAGCAGGAGATGGAGGAATGGTTGATAACTTTGAAAAAAATTATTCAGATCAATACCGACAGTTTAGTGCAAGAGAAAAAGGAGACAGTAGAAACAGCACAAGGTCAGGTTTTTTAAATCATTTGTTATTGAGGTAAAACCCTTGTCTTTAATCCATGGGAATGTCTGTTGTTCAGGGTGAATATAGAACTCTTAATCTTAAAAGTTGACCTAATTCTTCATTAGCAGTAACTATGGAGGTGGATAGATTTATTTTATTTTATTTTTATTTTTTTGAGATGCTGCTGCATGGGCTCTGACACATGAAATATAACCAGACTAAAACTGATAAAGACTTCATGGAACATTTTCAAAAGTTCATTAAAATTTTCTCTTTGCTTTCATAATCAAAATTCTTTGCAATAAATCTAGTAGGAGAGGATGGGGAGGGAGAGATAGGATATTCCTCTTAGATGATTAGTGATGGTCTGCATGGTTTAGAACATTTGCTTTTTAATGAATTAGCAGATGATGAAACTAGCAGCCAAGGAAAAGCCGAGAACATCATGGCCAGTTTGGAAAGGAGCATGCATCCGGAACTGATGAAGGTACATCTTTTTATGGGAGCTTGTCTTCAACTTACAGGATTACATATTAAAGTTTTAATGCTGGATTCCATTTGGCGATATCATTACTAAATTAACGACCACAGCAAATTAGTGAAACAGGAAGAGATTTTAAAAGAAAAGTTATACTCCTAAAATTGGACTTGTAATTGCCAACTAACAGTTTGGAAAATCTTATTTTTTTTTTCCTAGATGCCAGGAAATACTTCTAGATTGTTATGACTTTATTAATACTATATGTTACTTCTTATTCAGTTTAATTAGAGTCATCCCTCAGGATCCTCAGGGTATTGGTTCTAGGACCCTGAGGACTACCAAAATCCCTTATATAATATGGCATAGTATTTTCACATGACCTATGCACATCCACTTGTATACATTAAATAATCTCTAAATTACTTATAGTATGTAATACAAAGTAAAAATGCTATGTAAATACTTGTTATACTGCATCGTTTAGGAGATGATGACCAGAAAAAAATATTTACATGTTCAGAATGGATACGACCATTGGAGGACTAATTACATAGTATACGTGAGCAGCAGTGTAACGTTAAAAAAAATATATTTTTGGAGATTGGATTAAACATGGCGGCGTGAGAGACATTCCCAGATCTCTCCCCTTGAAACAACAATAAGCTGAACATCTAAAACTCAACAAAAATCATGCAAACTGCACACCAGCACGGCTGAACATGGGATCTGCGATAAGAGCTACCACATAACCCCGGGTGTCAGGCGGTGAACTGGGAGAAACAAAGAAGCTGCCTCTCATAGCCAGAGCTCCCTGTAGGAAAAGGGGGAGGGGAGAAGGAACGGTGAGTTCCCTGAACAACTTTGCCTGAGTATGCTGTGAGCTCTACGTGGCCAGCGGCAGTGCCCAATCATCAGGGCAGAAGGCAGAGAAACATGGACAGCAGAAGAGCAGAGACGGCAGAGAAACAATGGTTGGTTTTTAGCAGCCACGGTTGCAAAACTGAGGCTGAGCCGCAGCCTCCAACCCCCAACACAGAGGGCCCCTCCCCCCATATCCTCCGATATGGAACGCCGGGAAGCTCCAGTGGAATCTGAGCAAACACTACCGAAACTGACAGGAACTGAGACTGAGGGTAGCAAGCATGATTAAAGATCTATAAAGAAAAAAAAGACATTATTAACACTTTATATAAAGCAGAGATCCAAGAGACTTAGACAATACCTACTGGAAACCAAAAGAAAAACACCTTATTTGCAACAGACTAGGGACCATTATATAATAAATCTTTCTGGGAAAAGAAAAAGCAGAACACACTTCCATTAATGCCCAGGTGGAGAAATAGTCCATTAAACACCATGAACAACCAAGGTGACAAAGCA